ATTTTGCAGTGCTTTGATTGTAAGCTTTGGGGGTCAGAAACATATATCTTAAAAGTTTGTGTGGAGCATGACAGAATGAAGCCCTGATAGGGCGAGTTCTCAGGACTGCTGATCTATCAGTAGTCAATAACAATCTGAAGAATAAAGATAAAGCTTTAAGTTGTTTGCACTTTCTATCTAACTTCTCTATCTTCTTTTCTTATTACTAAGGTGGCCTTCCCGACAGCTTAGGGCCACATCTTTCTGGGTAATATGCAAACCACCCTGATAATATGCTACTTGGCCTGTAGAGTTTGTTGCCAAACATGGGATAAGTAAGAGTAAAAATTAGTAAGTTTTAAGGAAGAGGATATGAAATACAAAGAGAAGTAAATTGTTGTGGCTTGTATCAAATCTCGAAAGTATATTTTTTTGAGGTCATTACTTTGATTTGGTGTAATGTCATGTTGTCTTTTTTCATAATCGAGCTTTATGTGTTTTATAGGTAACGTAGATGGATCCTAGTAGATTCATATCTGAGGCTTGGATTTAGACATCTAAAAACTCAGTTTTCTAGCCAGTGTCAGAGCAAGTTTTGTATGAGCTATATTCAGTGCTGTACTGTTCAAATAGGTATTCAGTCAGATCTGGAGCCAGAGTAAACTGTTTTTGACACTGTTTCCCACAACCTTCTCCTGGACAAACTGGCAAGGTGCAGATTGGATAGGTGATCTGCGAGATAGGTAGGGAACTGGCTAACAGGCCATATTCAGAGGGTGGTCATCAATGTTTTTTACTCAGGCTGGCAGCCTGTCACAAGTGGGGCCCCCCAGGATCAATACTGGGCGCCACACTGCTCAATATCTTCATAAATGATCTGGATGATGGGACTGAAAGCACCCTCACCAAGTTTGCCGATGACACCAAGCTGGGTGGTGAGGTGAACACGTCAGAAGGGCGAGCCATCTTACAGAGACACCTGGACAGGCTGGAAGAGTAGGCTAGCAAGAACTGTATGATGTTTAACAAAGACAGCAGCTTACTGCACAAGTACCAAACACGGCACATAAGCAAGTTTTGAATAAAATGCATCAGGATTAGCACAGGTCTCCAAGTCACAACAACTCTACCAAAGCATCTGTGGGTGGGAGCCTCCTAATTCTTGTGCATCCGCAGGGGTGTTACTAGCTGACATAAAGATGTGATCATCCCACTCTATTCAGTGCTTGTCAGGCTGCACCTGGAGTGCTGTGTCCAGTTCTGGTCCCCGCAATTCGAGAAAGATGTGAACAGACTGGAGAGGGTCCAAAGTGGGGCCACAAAGATGATCGAAGGGCTGGAGAACCTGCCCTGTGAGGAAAGACTGAAGGAGTTCAGGTGGTTCTCCCTGGAGAAGAGAATGCTCAGGGGGAAACCTCATCACAGGATTCTAGTACTTAAAGGGTGGCTACAAAGAGGATGGAGGCTCTCTCTTCACAAGGAGCCATGTGGAAAAAGACAAGGGGGCAATGGATACAAGTTGCACCAGGAGAGGTTTCGTCTCAATATAAGAAAGAATTTTTTTTTACAGTGAGAGCAATCATTCACTGGAACAACTTCCCAAGGGATGCAGTAGAGTCCCCATCACTGGAGGTTTTCAAGATGCAACTGGATAAAGTGCTTGATAATCTCATCTAGGCTCCCTTTCCCACAGATGGTTGGACCAGATGATCTTTTGAGGTCCCTTCCAACCTGGGCTGTTCTATGATTCTGTGATTATTTCTATGATTAAATTGTTCTTGGACCTTGCATTCTAATGAGAGTCAATCTTTCTTCCTCTTCTGTCCTGTGCCTTTCTAGGTAGTGACTACCTCAACATGGATCAGCATTGCTGCAGTTCCTACCCATGAAGTTAGCGTGCAACACATGGCCAGCCCAGGAGGACTGTAGTCAGTCTAATGTTTTTTCTGGGTCGAAGTGAAAAGACTTTTGAATCAGTAGCCTAGCCTGACTGGTACTGACAGTGGGTCTGGTGCATTGCCCAGTCATTTAACTTCATCTCCTAGCCATAACTTTCTTTGAAATAACAACAGTTCTTTTTCATAAATGAAGCTGTAAAGAACAAAGTGAAGAAAAGTAGAAATAAATTTCAGAATAAAACAAACCAGGGAGTGCAATCCAGACAGCAACGTCTACAAATGACTGGGTTTCTTTCCCACTAGATCTGGAGATCAATTTCAATTCTCCATCTTAAGTCCCAGTTTTCACAGATCTGTTTAGAATACTGATACTATGCCATGAACTATGGCAATGCTAGAAAATTTAAAAAAGCTGCGCATTCTACTAGAAGCTGTGTGATCTGGCTCTGTTCCAATACAAGTCTTGTTAGTTGTCCTGAGACACACAGTTAGAAACATGTTTGTCTTGATTACTTGAAATATAGTTCACTAATTAGTTGAAGTCAGTTCTGGTTTGGCAGTGAGAAATGGCTTTTTGAGATACATTCATTTGATTCAAAGCATGGGAGGTAGCTTAGCTGTCGACTTCAGGTACAAAAACAGAGTTATCTAGGCTTTACTGATTAAAGGAAACTTAATCTATATGCTGAATCTCTTTACATGCAGTAAATTACTGCTGTATGGAAAGAAATCTTACATCATCCCTCATAGGTACACTAGCCAGTACTGCAAGCTGAGCAGACCCAGGAATTTATTTTAATTGTTAATGGTAGGTTTAATGGTTAATGGTAGGTTCTCACAAGCTGGAAATGCCAGGAAATAATTGATGTCTCAGTTCATGGGAGTGTTTATCATTTAGATGGCCCTCACACAAACTATAAAGAGTTTAAACACTAATGCTGGAAAGACCAATTTAAATCAGTGGTTAATGCTAGTCTATACTTAGCTCTTCCCTGTGTTTCCCATGAGTGCAATTTCACAGTGATAGCAGCAGGAA